GCACACTTGGTCCCTGTACATAGACGGGTCTGCAACCTCGGGAGGAGCAGGGGCGGGGCTCATCCTAAAAAGCCTACAGGGTGAAACATATGAACAGGCACTCTAACTAGAGTTCAAAGCCACCAACAACAAAGCCGATTACTAGGCGCTGCTCTCGGGACTATGACTCGCCCTGGAAATGCACATCCAAGATCTAAAGGCCTTTAATGATTCACAACTGGTAGTAGGCCACATCAACGGTAGCTACGAAGCCCGAGATGCAACCATGGCGTTATACTTAGCCGAAGCAAAACGGCTCACGGGCTGTTTCGATCGCCTCTCGGTGGAAAGAATACCGTGCACCCAGAACATACAGGCCGATGCCCTAGCCCGACTAGCCTCCTCCCGCAACTTGGGGGAACTCTTTCCAAGAACCGAAGTCCTCTCGGCCTTAACGATATCAACCAAAACTGTCACTACAACTGAAGTCGCCCCGAATTGGATGGATGATATCCTCCATTATAAAAAGAAAGGAACGCGACCTGACGATCCAGCAGTCGCCCGCCGACTCCAGCACATCTAGGCATGGTACTGTGAAGTTGGTGGAAAGCTACACCGAAGAGCCTTCTCTCAACGCCTCTTATGCTGCTTAGCGCCACTCGAGACTAAAACGGTCCTTGCTCAAGTCAATGAAGGCATCTGCGGGGAACATGCCGGCGACCGAACCTTAGCCTTCAAAATCCTGAAGTAGGGATATTACTAGCCGACCCTACGATGAGATGCACGGTCATACGTGCAACGATGACAGCAATGCCAGAAGCACGCCCGAATATAACACCAGCCCGCGGTTCCTCTCACCCCGATGGACACCGCTTGACCTTTTGCCCAATGGGGTCTCAACCTCCTCGAGCCCCTTTCCCCCTGCATCTGGACAAAGGAGATTTCTTATAGTTAGGGTAGATTACTTCACAAAGTGGATTGAAGCTGAGCCGCTGGCGTCCATCACTAAAAAGTAGGTGGAGGGATTCGTATAGAGGAACATCATTACCCAGTTCGGGATCCCAAGGGCCATCATCACCGACAATGGAGCCCAATTCAACAATGCCAAATTCAAAGCCTACTATTAGTCCTACGGGATATAGTTGAAGTTCAGCTCAGTCGCACACCCCCAAACCAACAACCAGGCTGAAGCCGCAAATCGAGCCATCCTAGAGGGCTTGAAGAAAAGGGTGACTTGGGCTTGCGGGGCATGGGTCGATGAGCTCCCGAGTGTTCTATGGGCATCTCGGACCACCCCCAAAACAGCCATGGGGGAATCCCCGTTCAGCTTAGCATACAGGACCGAGGTAGTCTTGCCACCCGAAATGGTGTTCCCCACCCTGCGCATTGAGAACTTCGAAGAAGACGCCTTGGAGGAAGGCTTCCGGGCAAACCTCAATGTTAGGACTCTAGCTAGGAGAGTCCTAATTGAGAGGGACATTCATGTAAAACCTATCTATGCCAACCCCTATTAAAGAGGTAAAGAGGCCGGCTGGGGTTATGAGGTTGTTTCTTAGAGAAGAATTAGGAGTTGTAAAGAAATAGGAGTCTTGAGTAGGAGTCCTATTAGGAATTAGGGTTTAGAAGCCTAGCCATGTATTTCTCCTCTTTTGATAAGCAATAGATGAATCTTTTCTGCAACCTTTGAGCAGCAACTTGGAGGGAGGAACCCCTATAGAGTTCCAAGGAGGTCGATCCCCTAAAGAGAATAACCCCAAGTTTAGAATCTACAAGGGTTCTATCACCTAGTATTAGAGCAACGTTCTTGGTATCTCACTGCCCTTCCACATCCATCCATCAGCCCTCCACAGCCACCCAAAGTAATTCCCACAATTGCTTAAAGGATCATCGCCAAATTCCGCTGTCATCTCCACCACTACGGATCATCCTTTGATCTCCTCGTGAATTGCAATAGATTATGGTTTCCTACCTTACTGATACTGCAATTTAATTATCCTTATTCAAAAATCTAAAAAAAATTATTCCTATATTGCTGCATAAACTTTTCGTCATAAAGTTTTCATCTCTATGATGAAAGATACATTACATAATTCCAACCGCATAGCACAAACTGTTTGATCTTACTACTGCATTTTTTCTATCCAAATTTCTATAAAATTTTTATGACAGCTTTGACACTTCCTAATAGCAGATTTTCCTTTGGTTTTGTCAAAAAATTCTCGAATAAACCATTGATCTTTTACGTCCAATCCGCTACACTTAAAAATCTATGCTGTAGAAAATTTCAACCGCATATTGTTGCCTTAACCCATCTATTTACAATCTTTTTTGAATGAAATTTCTTATACACTTCATATATTATCTTGGCTTCCATCTAAGGTTAATCTATTGAGAAATTCATCTCTAAAAATGATTTTGTATTGCTGTAAATTTTCATCGTAAACCGTTGAAATTTTTCGACGAGAATTTTGCTATCGCAACTTGCACCAATTTTCTTGCTGTTGCTGCCAAAATTTTCTTGATTAAATTAGACATCCTTGCTGTCATATAAACTGAGATTTTTCTATCAATTCTCTCCTCAAATTTCTCAGGTTTTGGTAGAAATTTCATCGAGAAACTACTGTTTCTTCGATGATAATTCTGCTCTTACAAGACAATACAATTCTGTAGTAAACTTCCACTGATTTCTATCAAATCTTTTTTGCCATCTATCACAGATCTAAAACTTTCATCCATAGTCCTAAAACTCTACCAAACCACACCCTCAAACTACACCCAAAACAGCCACAAAACAAGCCTAAACCGCAGCCTATATCCCCCAATCCACCAACCTTTTTGACCATCACTTCTCTCAGCCTATATATGCCTTTAATCCAACAACAAAAGAGAGATCTTAACATCACAGATTTGGAGATATATATTATGACATCTAAGGAGGCAATCAATGCTAAATTTGAAGCCTTCGAGGCGCGAATGGAAGATAAGATTCAAACTCTCTTTACCGAACTCAATTTGGGCCGACCACCAAGCCCGAAGAAACCACATTAAGGGGAGAGCTCTAACCAATCACACCAAGCCCAAATAGATAACTTCCAAGAGAGGGGAGGCTCTATGACTGACCCCAACTATCTACGCATGAGAGTGGACTTCCCTAGATAGGAAGAAGGAGACCCGATTGGTTGGATCTTACATGCGGAGCGATATTTTCGGTACCACAAAACTACGGACGCATCTATGGTAAAAATTATAGCTATACATCTTGAAGGGGATGTCATAAAGTGGTTTGACTAGTTTAAACACACTCATGGAGTCCTCTCATGGCAACAATTCAAAGAAGGACTACTGATCCGCTTCGGACCAATCGATTACGAGAACATTGAGGGATAACTAGCAAAGATCCGACAAACCTCCACCATTCAAGAGTACCAAACTAGGTTTAAAAGTTTATCTAATCAAACTTGTGATTGGTCTCAAAAACAGCAATTGGGGACCTTCATTGAGGGCTTGAAGCTGGAGATCCGGGGAGAAGTTAAAGCACGACAACCGTACACACTTATGGCAGCCATCTCTTTCGCACGATTTCAAGAGGAGCGATTGAACCATGAAGCCCGGAGGACTAGGGTTGCTCCCCAACGAGCAATATCGAAGCCCTCAACCCCCCTACTATCAACCGAGTCCCTACACTAAAAAGTTTGACAAGAGAAGAACTTCAGGAGTGATCTGCGAAAGGGTTATGCTGGCATTGCGACGAACCGTGGAGCCGTAAGCATCGCTGTAGTAAAGGGAGACTTCTTATGATTGAACTAATAGGAGAAGAGATCATTGAACATCCAGAAGAGAGCCTTGAACATGAAGAAGAAGATGCAGAAGAAGAGTCACAACCGAATGAAGTTACGGTACATGCACTAGCCGGCTACTCAAACCCGCAAACAATGAAAGTTGGAGGCCTTCTCAAACAACAACTGATCACTGTTCTCATTGACACGGGCAGCACTAATAACTTCCTAAACAGTATGGTTGCTGTCAAGATAGCCTTACCTATCGAGAATTGTAGTAGGTTTGACGTTAAGGTCGCCAACGGATGGATTTTGAAGTATGATCGTAGGCACCTGTGAGTGAAACTTTTGCTACAGGACCAAGAGATAATTACATATTTCTTCCTCCTCCCTCTTGATGATCATGAGGCCATGCTCAGAATTGAATGGTTGATGACATTAAGTGATGTTTTTTAGAATTTTATGAAACAAATTATGAAATTTTACAGTAAGGGGAAACATGTGATACTGTACGGGAAACGTAGGGGCGACGTAACGATGATTTGCACACAACAAATAGAGAAGGTTTTGCATAAAGCATGCAGCGGCTTTTTGGTACAACTTCAGCAACAAACTAAGGGAGAGCCAATAGAATTTGAAGATCCAAACCTACTTACTTTGCTTACTGAATTTTTAGATATATTTGACGAACCACACAACCTACCTCTTACCCGTCGGTATGATCATTTATATAACGATTCTTCCAAGCAAACCTCTAGTAAATACTCGGCATATCAGTATCTACATTTCCAGAAGGATGAAATAGAAAGGATTGTAAAAGAGATGCTCGAAACAAGAGTTATTCGGCCAAGTTGCAACCTCTACTTTTCACCGGTGCTACTTGTACACAAGAAGGACGGAACATGATAAATATGCGTTGATTATCGAGTTCTCAATGACATAATCATCAAGGATAAATAACCTATTCCAATAGTAAATGAATTGCTAGATTAAAGGAAGCATAAATCTTCTGGACCTTCGATCCGGGTATCGATGCGACCACGAACCGCTTACCCATTTACCCATTGACCCGTTTACCACTTGTTTGAGGAACTGCAATCAAAGCCTCTTTTCTACCGAGTCCCACGCATTACAGTTTTGACAAATCCGAACGTGCCTCAGTCGTCGGATCAAATAAAGATTCGTGTTTCGTTGGTGATGGGTCCACATACACGACGCAAACTCGGTCCAGCAACACCAAGGTTTGCCGCGTGGGTCGAGCTCCATGCCAGAAACCCCCAACCCTAGTGGCTTCCGCTGCCCCGGTTGTTGTTTCCCTGCGGAAATATAAGTGCCTCCGCCCACCGCCTCCTCCTCAAGGACCTCCTTGCTTCCTCCTGACACAACCATTCTTTGGAAGTAGTAGAAGAAGGGCAAAGGAAGAGAAGAAGTATAAGGGGGGCAGAATGGCGCTGGCGTTCGACGAGTACGGCCGGCCCTTCATCATAATCAAGGAGCAGGGGCAGAAGGCGCGGCTGCGGGGCCTCGAGGCGCAGAAGGCCAACATCTCCGCCGGGAAGGCCGTCGCTCGTATCCTTCGTACCTCGCTCGGCCCCAAGGGCATGGACAAGATGCTGCAGAGCCCCGATGGCGACGTTATCGTCAGTCAGTATTCTTCCTTCTCTGCATCCTTTGCCTCTGCTTAGATCTTGTTTTTTTCTTGCTGTTCTTAGCGATCACTTGTGGAAAAAAACCAACTTTTTTTTGAGGGGGTTTGGTGGCAATGGGAAGGGAGTGGAGCCATCAGGCTTGCTCGTTACGGTTTTTGCCTCAAGGTAAATTGTTGGACCTTTTGGACGTATGGAGAACGTGGTAATTTTTTTTTTCTCTCTGTTGATCGGTGCTTTTTGGTGAAGACGTGCGTTCTTTTGTATGATTGGTATATGGGACTTGAAGCAGGATATCGATGGCAATGATAAAAAAAAAAATTAGTTTGGGCCTGAGAGAAAATATGATATGGATTACTAGCTTTTAAAGTAGTGCTCAATGAGGATCTGGTTTCTAAGGCTATGACATTGGAAATACAAAATAGTTTAGATGATCGTGATTACTGAAGTTGCCAGGGGACTTCTTTTACCTTGCCCCTGGCAATGCTCAATAAATGTTGTTCTTGTACTTGCAATAGCATGCTTTAACAAATTCAAAACACTTCCTGTGTTGATCTTCACGAAGTTAAGTTTAGTAATCAAGTTTTTCATGGTTTAAGGTGCTGCCTCTGTGTTACAAGTGCATGTTCCCTGTGTGCACATAGGAACTAGCATGAAATTGATGTGTATTCATCTTGTGTCATGTGAAGCACACACAATGACTATCATAACATGTACCATGGGGCATGCCGATGGCACTTGGCACCTTGAACCCTAAATACTGATTATAATTTCTTGGAAAATGCAAATTTTAAATACATTAATGTACTTGTAATTAATCTTATTGGATTAGTATGTATTGACCAGTGTGCTATGAGACACCTTGGTGTACCAATAATAATTTACTAGAAGATACAGTAGTTTCTCCGTAACACTGGTACAATATTGGGATTGTTATAGTACAGATAGCATGGTGTTTGAAACCTTGGAAATGATCTTTTGGATGGTAGACATTGTAGGACTAACTTGAAAAGATCCATACCTATTGGTTTTATCAACAACTTATGATGATAAAAACTAGAAGTTGTTGTGTGAGCATTGTATCTATTTACACTACTGAACAGTTGGTTATGTTGTTTATAATTCCATTTATCAGGACCTTCATTTTGATTCTTATCATTGTTCTTTTATGGTATCAGCAAATGATGGGGCCACTATCTTGGAGCAGATGGATGTTGATAATCAGATTGGCAAACTGATGGTGGAATTATCTCGTAGTCAGGACTATGAAATTGGTGATGGTACCACTGGGGTTGTTGTTTTGGCTGGTGCACTTCTCGAACAGGCTGAGAAGCTTTTGGAACGTGGTATTCATCCTATTAGAATTGCTGAGGGCTATGAAATGGCCTCTAGGCTAGCTGTGGATCATCTTGAGCACATATCACAGAAATTTGAATTTAGTGTTACCAATATAGAGCCTTTGGTGCAAACTTGCATGACAACATTATCTTCAAAAATGTAAGTTCAGACGTCTTTATTTGATTTATCAAGGTTACATGATGATGTTCTCTGTTCTTGCCCTTTGTTATGTTTATGTCCAGTGAAATACCATTAATATCTTTATCAGAGCATCATACAACAATTTTTATTAATTCTTGTTAATATCTTGCTCTTTTTTTTTTGCTGGAGCTAACCAGTTTATTTTATTTCGTTTGCTTATAATATTCTGTATCTTTTGAAGGACTTGGATTCTCTGGAAAGTATTTAATGTAGTCAGAATTATCGGTTTTTTTTCAAATATATGGAAGATCCCTTTTACAGTGCAATATTTTAATAGAAATAGATGATGCCTTTGGTTAGTAAGAACTTTCTCTTGCTTCTTCTTTCTTCTCCCCCTTCTTTTTCTTGGGATATTTCCTGGACACCTATGTAAGCAATTTTCTAGTTCCATGCTGTGTCAATGATACCTACTGTGCTAGATGGCAATCAGCATAATTCATGCCATCATTAGACAATCCTTTCTTACCTGATGTATAAGGATGGTTAAAAGAGCTGCATGCAAGTTAGGGCTCCTGTGAGTCATAATTATTGATTTTCAAGATAAAGTAGCAAACAGTATGAAAGATACAACTCAAGGAGGAATAGTGGGAAGTAAAAGGCTATCATGCATTTGTGCACTCATACCGCATGGAACTCTTGAAGCATATAAACAAAGAATGGAAAAAAAGTTGATTATTCTATTCCCTTATCTTCTAATGTAATATTCGTCGAAACATTTTTTAACCATCTTTGACTATGCCGCTGAGGTATCTCTTCTCTTTCTATTGTTCTGTCATCTGCCTATTCAATAAACAATTTATCATGATCATGATGCAGTGTTAACCGTTGCAAGCGTGCGTTAGCTGAGATTGCTGTTAAGGCAGTTCTTGCAGTTGCAGATTTGGAGAGGAAAGATGTTAACTTGGAATTAATTAAGGTTGAAGGAAAGGTCGGAGGAAAATTGGAAGACACAGAACTCATTTACGGAATTGTTGTCGACAAGGATATGAGCCACCCCCAAATGCCAAAAAGAATTGAAGAAGCAAAGATTGCTATTCTTACATGCCCATTTGAACCACCCAAGCCAAAGACAAAGCATAAGATTGACATTGACACTGTTGAAAAATTTCAAACTCTACGCCAGCAAGAGCAGAAATACTTTGATGATATGGTCCAAAAATGCAAGGTACATATGCCAAATGTTGTTTATAGCTTTGTTCGCATTAATGAGTAACCTTTTGGAAGTGTCTGGTTTTCTAAGTAACATTTGGATTGTAGAAGTTTTGCAGCCTAAAATATTTTCATATTGGTCTGCTAATAGTTAGTTTCTTCTTTGCTAGAGTTGATTTTTTAAACTGTCATTTGTTTACTTATATCAATTTCAATTTTTTAAATGTTATAAGCATTGACTTGTATAATGTCTGCAGTCATTCAACATGGAAGATACTGGTTCATATTTTGTCATTTGACCAATTATTGGGTTTTGGTTTTCAATAAATTCTTTCTGAGGTCTGCTTTTGATTGTTGTAGGATGTTGGTGCAACCCTAGTTATCTGTCAGTGGGGTTTTGATGATGAGGCAAATCATTTATTGATGCATCGAAATTTGCCTGCTGTTAGATGGGTTGGTGGTGTTGAATTAGAATTAATTGCAATCGCTACAGGTTGGCATTTGTATTTTGTCATTCGCCTGAAAATAATAAGATAAGAAAGGGAACTTATCTTATGTTCACTATTTACACAGGTGGGAGAATAGTTCCGAGGTTCCAGGACTTGACAGATGAAAAGCTGGGAAAGGTAGGAAATACTTGAAATTCCTTCGTATAACATTTATAACTTATACAACTGAATCTATGTTCTGTTAATTGTTAATTTTTAAGTTGTTTAACTTTCAGTGTGAATTCAATATTTAGAGAACTTTTTGGAAGTCTTGGAAAATAAACTGTACAATTTTTCTTGAAATTAATCATCAATTAAAGATTTTGTGTTAATTTTACACATCAATTATGAAATAATAATACATCCATAATAATTTCTGCTGCTGAATTGTATTGTTGGTGTTACAATGTTTGCAGCTGATTTGTTCCATATGATTGCGGAACTTGTTTATTCCAGTTATTGGCTTCAAGTCCCTTTTCTTGCCCGTATAGAAGTTTTGACTCCAATTGCAGATTCAAAAGTGGTCCGCTTCCTAGAATAGGTACTTGTGCCAGATTTGGTTAGCTCAAATAGCTAGTAAAGGCTGTTTGTCCAGCAGAAAAGCAAGGAGAAAAAGCCTATCTTTGAAGGGTGGTATAGTCATTAACTATCATAGTTAGGAGAGAGCATAGTAGCATATGATTAGACCATGTAAGCCCCTCTGACGATCATTTAGTAATTTTACTCTGTTATTCAGCAATAAACCATCTATTTTGTTCTTCAATTTACTTGCTGGATATTCTTCTCTTCTCTTGAACTAGAGAAGCATGCCAGCACTAATGGTTGAAAGGTGTTAAAATGACACCTATAGTAACAAATAAGATTATGTAGTAAGGTTCCATCAGTTGAAGGTTTGATTATGCCTGAACAGAGTAGGAGTTTTAGGGTTCTAAAATTGTCTGTTTATCTTTGAAGTTAAATTTCTAGAGTGGTTTTATTAAACCAAACAAGTGGCACAACTTTCTCTAGGCTAATAAGAAAGAAGAAGAGAGGTGAGTAAGACTTGTTCAGGTTGATCATCAAAGGAACTGACAATATCTGACATATGCTTCCTCTATCTGCTTGATACAGTGTTTCTCTGGCAAGCCAACTGCCTACTTTATGATATGTACTGAATACCATGGCATGATTTGTTTCAGTACTTAAATCCTTATGACTACATTTTCAAAGTGAAATGCATGAAAGAGATCTGCTCATTGCCTTTGTAAAGTGGAAAATACAATGTTTTGATAAGCTTGTGCATGAATATACATCTGTATCTGGATTTATCTCCAATTGGGGTCAAATTTGATTCGATTTGAAGGCTTCATCCTCTAATCAGTGGTTGAGTGCCTCCTCTAGCCTCTACATGCAACTTGTATGTGAATTATTGCTAGTTGATTTTTTTCGTTTTTTTAAGACGGATCTGCTTGCTCATTTAATGGTTTTTAATGCTTTAATCAACTTCGTTAATTGTCCTTTCTTGATTACAGTGTTCATTCTTGCCATATTTTTATACTTGCTTGCAACAATTTGTCAATCTTGCATACGAACTCAAATTGACTATGATGTAACATATATAGATTTAAGATATGGCATCTGGCTTTTGACATGCCTTGTACATGTAGACATTCTTGACTTCCTGGTATGGAGATTTTAAGTTACTGATTTTATATATAATTGGGTGTCTTAAATACTTATTATTCAATTTTAATGTTCGTCAGTTCTGCACAGATTACTATTTTCTGAAGGGATTTTTTTTTCTGTTCATCACCAGGCTGGATTAGTTAGAGAAAAATCATTTGGAACAACTAAGGACCGGATGTTGTATATTGAACATTGTGCTAACTCCAGAGCTGTAACAATTTTCATTCGTGGCGGTATGGTAACTCTTGGTTGTATTTGCAGTGTGGATACTTGTTCCTCAATTTGCCTAATTATTAATTCTGTAAGAATTTGGTAAAAGAAAAATGTTGGGATTTGACTATGTGAAGTTACTTAGTTCTAAATGATGGCTTCTTGCTGAAATTTATATCTTTTGCTTAATTATTTTTAAATATTTTTTAAAAGCATGTACATTAATAACATTGCTACCTAGAGTTATATCTCTCCATGGTTGTTTTAATAATGCTGATGTTCCATTTCATTTAGTAGAAGTGTCTAATTTGCTTTAGTGAACAATTTGGGTCGGAATAAAAGTTCTAAATCTAGTAACTAAGAATCTAAGCTGCATTTTGAAACTGTGTATCAATCTTTGAGTCATTTACTCTTTAAATTAACTGTGTATCCAAAAATATTATTGATTGAATAATCAATATAGGATATTTGTGATTCTACATTTACTAGTTTGGGAAGAGTAGTAGGTGAAACAAATAAGTGCTCATCATCATAGCAGGTGCAGCATGGTTGTGCTTTGACCCTTGTTACTCTTACTATGGATGGAAGTAATCATGGTGTGTTATTTTTCTGGGTATTATTTTGATCAGAGAGTTTTATGCCAGCCCCATCGAGCCAAACAATTAGTGGATGCCCTGCTGTCATGGTATGAGCTTAGGTTATGGTATTTGTCTTCACTGTCATTGTATCCGAAAAATGTTTTGATCTTTCGATCCTCATTGAAAACCATATGGCATTTCTTTAAATTGGAATCTTGACACCATTGGTCATGATTAACATAAGGGATTCTAGTTAATTGAAAGAATGTTCTGATCAATCCATAGATCATTTAGATGTGGTAACTTATAATATTGTCAATAGAGTGGGAGAGGTTGTTATGTGCACTTCTATATGTTTATGCTTTTGATTTGATAGTAATGCCTTTCACAGATTAGACCAGTTGGCCTTGGTTCATTTGAATTTGAAATGATATTATGATTATGACGCTACAGGTAACAAAATGATGATAGACGAAACTAAGCGTAGTCTTCATGATGCACTTTGTGTGGCAAGGAATCTGATCCGTAGCAATTCAATTGTTTATGGTGGTGGCTCTGCAGAATTATCTTGCTCAATTGCTGTAGAAGCTGCTGCAGACAAATATCCTGGGGTTGAGCAGGTGAAATATTCTGGTCCTGTCACATATTGTTCTGAATATTCTAACCCCTAACGTTCATGTTCTGTTTTCCTGTATCCTCTTTCAGTATGCTATCAGGTCCTTTGCTGAAGCTTTAGATTTTATTCCGATGGCTCTTGCTGAGAACTGTGGCCTCCCACCTATTGATACTGTTACAGCTGTCAAATCTCAGCAAATTAAGGTATGCTGTTAATTAACCAATCTGCAACATTTATCTGTACGATATATGCGGGTTGAGAGTTTGTGTTCCTCTATCGTTTTCTACATTGTTGCTTGTACAATCTTATGGAGACTCGTAGTGAGAGTCCATGCTTCCTCTACCATTTTCTACATTGTTGCTTGGTATGTGACATTTGCACTGAGGTGTTCATGAGCTTTTTGTCCAAGTATAGTTGTGCTACTGTCCTTTTTTTGCACAATGTATCTTTTAATGGAACACTATCCATAGAATCAGCTGGCAAGACACAGATCAGCTGATGAATTGTGTTGCTGGGAACCCCCTACCCCTCCTAGAAGGGAAACTAGTAAACCGCTAATTATTAATATGATATTTTCCTTTTTATGGTATCTGTCTTTTAGTAAGTTCGGTAGTGACTTCTACTGCTTACTTTGATCATTTTCTTTGGTATAATCTTATTCAAGATTTGAAAAAGGTTAACTTCTGACAAGGTCAGAAATCCTTGTTATCAGAATCTTCTTTTTTCCTGAAAAAAATGTTCTAGACTTGAAACTAACCATTTTATGTAGGTAACCCAGCTGGGCCTTCCTGATTGAATCTCCTCATATTGGTACTTTGCAGCTCCAAATTTTATTGTCGATGATGAAACTGAGGAAAAGGAAGGCCTACAGCTTAGATTTTAATAATGCACTACGAGTACTGGTGGCAAAAAAGTTCATTTTGTAAATTTAGTTTTCATAGCATCAGCAGTGCAAACACTTGATTGACATGCAACCAAAGGTTTAAATGTTTTGAGGGTAAATGCTTTAAATCTAAGCTTGATAATGACATTCTTTTAACATGTTTTATTCATGATAAGCTAAAAACGTTCTTCCATATATTGGTCATGTCCTAACAATATCACAAACATATCCCTACATATAGTAGGTGTTTAGATGCCTCAGCATGTTGTGCTGTGATAATTTACTGTCAATTAATCACAGCCATCAACCTCATTGCTGTATACCTCTCTTAGGAGATGTCATGGCCAAGGCCGTATTTTATTCTTGAATTGTCTTTTGTCAGCTTCTTTCCCATTAGCCAACATCATGTCGACATATATGGTGTTTAAACTGTTCATGTCTATTATATGGCATGCCACATATGATTCTCATGCGTTTGCCTTAAAGCATTTTTTCCTGAGAGCATTTGCGGGTAGCTACGATCAGTTTTGTTTTTTTTCTGAATGAGGTAGGTACAAATCAGTTGCTTTTAATAATTGGCATACATTGTATCCTTATCGTCACTCAGAATATTTCATGTTTATGTGAAGCTTAAACAATGAATGTTTTGTCTTCATAATTTTCCCATTGTTGGTGCAGGAAAATAATCCTTATTGTGGTATAGATTGCAACGATGTTGGGACAAATAACATGATGGAGCAGAATGTATTTGAGACGCTGATTGGCAAACAACAACAGATCTTGCTGGCAACTCAAGTAGTGAAAATGATTTTGAAGATTGATGATGTGATCACTCCATCCGCCTATTGATTTTGGAGGATAAGTTCCTAAGCTAAGATCTATTTGTCAGAATTTGCTATGGCTAAGTGGGATATAAGCATTATCCTTGCATCCAAAGACTCTCATTGCATCTCTTTTGTGCTTTCTTAATGATTTATGAGTGTACAATGTCAGTCTTGCGACAATTTTGTCACCGGCCAATCTATCGGCATCATATGTATTTCGTTTCATTTGGTTCTTTCCAAATGGGAAATTGGAAAAGAAGACTGACTGTATGCACTTGAAGTCTGGATTTGATACACTGCAACTCTTGATGTTCTAGGAATCTGGGTAGCTAGAATTTCTTTCAGGGCCTGACATAAGTATCTTTCTTGATTGGAAAGCTTTGATGCTTGAATGATGCAAATATTAGCTGTCCGATAGATTGGACAGCAGTATCAATTTGCCTTTCGGATAGGTTGTGGAATCAATTTGCCTTTCGGATAGGTTGTGGAATTTTAACATAGTGACCGATGATGGCCTTCGGCTCATCAATATCAATTCTAGGGAAGCTAGTTTGAACTTCAAACTTTTCGCCAGAAAGCTGGTCAGTTTAAGCTTATTTACTGTTTCCATGTAGTGAAAATTAATTGTGAGATTATATATGACATGTATATTTGTATCTTTCACTTATGATAATTGGAAACAGTATCTATTTCCACTATTTACCTTGAAGGATGTTTTTATATTTTTTGCAATGGTGTATGCATATTTCAAAAAAAAGAAAAAAAGTAGAAAATATTTTAGGTATATTTCAAAAAAAAAATCTAAGTATCACCTGTGTTGGTGCTCCATGTGTCGTTTATGTTGAACATGGAAGGTCAAAAGAATAAAGAAATAGATTATAGTAGTTTAATAAAATTGGATGGTAATAATTAGCTGTCCACATTATTGGGATAAGAACGAAAGATTACCTATTAGTTGGATTCGAGTTCACAAGTAGGAAAACATATATTTTGAGTGTTCCACTTTTGACATTCTTATAGCTGAAAGAATCTTTAAAAAGCCAAAATATGTTTTTAACTCCTGAATGAATAAGATTCCTTCATCCGATGCAATACGCAAAGGAGCATTTGGTCGTCCAACCGATGAAGGCACCACAGCTCAGAGTCTTAAGATTCGTATCGAATTAGTTGATGACACCAAGCCAAGCTCGTTGCCTTGCCGTGGAATGTGCTCCTTTGCTGTGTCGAATCAAGATTTGGGCCAACTTCCTGATTCCAATAAAAAAAAAATATATGTAAAGCTGAAGCATCAATCAGTAATGATGAAGTCAATCTGGTTCATCACAACCATAAAAAAAAGAGTGCATCTGTTACTTCGTTATTTACATTGGAAAAATAGCACAAGTATTTAATTTCCTATATATATATATATATATATATGTATGTACGGAAAAGATCACATCTCTAAACAAACATCCTAATGATTCAAAGGATTCGGGTTCGAGCTAGCATTTCATAATCTACCATCCGTGTGATGTGTAAATATCATCCGCAGAGCAGCAACTTGGCCGTCTCATTAATAGTGTGGTTGGCACCACTGTCATTGAATCATCGATCATAAATTCATCTCTGAAATCAGCAATTGAATCCCTTCCATCACCATAACACAGCCAGGAGGAATTAATTGGGTGTGAGATGTGGTGAGCTAATATGTTTGACATTGATGCCAAAAGATCCGTTCGAGTACGCCTTAAAGCAATAATGATACAGAGGGAGGGACCAAGTCAAAGGCCTCTCTCTTTGGATCTGCAATTGCCCCCACTCGTCAAAGGTGGCCGCTTTAAAGCATTGCAGCGTATCTGCACAACATATATCAAACCCCAAGCAATTTGTTCATTGGTCGCTTGCGATGTATGAACAAGAAAAGTACTTCAACTGGCTCTAGCTTAGAACACAGGGATACCATTGACACCATTTGGATGCATAGAGTCATAACATCGTTATTCTGCAGCCAATCAATGAAACGAGAGAAAGAAAACAACAAGTTGACACACTGCAAATTGCTAAGTAGCTAACGACACAGCTTTTCATCCAATTCCATCATCACCACCTGCGTGCTTCCCCGAGCTCGGCCATGCATTTAATGAGTTTTTTTGTTATGTACAAGAGTTATGTGCGCAAGAGGAGCTTTTGATTGATTATACGTCAGGAGAAACCCAAGCTTGCTGCAAAGAATCAACAGGGGTCAGGAGATGATGCTAACTAAGGTCGATTTCGACGCACTCTGGAGTTTCCCTTTCGGTCTGCTGTGCGACAAGTTCGACGCCAAGCTGCCCCTTGTCCCCTGCTCCAAATGCATACAATCTCCCAGAATCTGTCAAGGCAAAGGTATGTGCATTCCAGTAGATTGAGTTGGTGAGGCTAATCTGCACTACCCTTTCATTGATGTCCTTAAGTGAAGTTACTAATCTTGGGCTGAGTACATTGGCATGTCTGTTACCCTGCAATCAAAACAGAGCTTGGAATTAGCTGAGATACATTATCAACATTGCCCGGTATCAAGTGCCAAAACTCGAACTGGAGCAGACATTCCACTGCTGAACTTGCAAATGTTTCATAATCTAAATTCATCACCTAAAGTCAAGAAAAGGATCACAAGAGGCAAATTCCAAGGCTAAACTACACTATTGGCCTCAAAATTCTTAGGCGAGCTCTGTTGTCAATTTAGTATCAAAAGGAAAATGAGAAACAGAGCGACAAACCTGTCCATCAATGGCAGTGGAATGACCCAAGCTTGAGGATTCTCCACATCCAAATGAGTAGACATCCCCAGTATCGGAGACGACAAACGTAGTGTAGTCGCCTGTTGCGACATGTATAGCCTTAATGTTGTCCAATGATTCAACCACCTTGGGAACAGATTCACAATCCTCATTCCCATGGCCCAAGCAGCCATAACGCCCCCATCCCCATGTGCACACCCGCCCATCTCTTCCAACAACAGCGGCATGCCAGGCACCAGCTGCAACCACTGTAGGCTGCAGGTTTAAAGCCTGGAACTGCTCGATTAACTTTGGGTGCTTTTCATCTGTCCTGGAACCATGCCCGAGCTTCCCTCCTAAGCCACAGCCCACAGAGTAGACAGACCTGCATTATGATCAAGTTAAGATCGAAGATAAAAATTTGACAACGAATGCATCAATTGCATTCAGGGGACGTACAACTTGTTGGAAATCTAGGATCTAGGAAACCGGTCAACCAATATGACGTATACTAAAACAAGCGAAAAGATATAACAGCAATTGATAGATCATGTGATTACTATACTAATTAGTAATGCCTTCCTAAACAACAATACAAAGGATGTCATGGCAAGTTGCTTCTCTTGATGCACTAAAACGACCACATTGGTTCACATGACAAGGAAAAGGACAAGGAATACATCTCATCTTAGAATACTAAGTCAAAGAAGACTCACATGCCGCTTGGTTGACAAGCCAGTGCTAGAAGGTAACAGTAGCCAGCAGCAATCTGAACAACTGGTACATTCTCAAGAGGGCCTAACAGAAGCCGTGGTTCCAGGTCATTTGGTTCGGTGTGGTGGCCTAGCTTTGAGTCATTTCCCCAACAGAAAGTGTATACCCTGCCTTCTCGAGAAAGGACTGCAGTGAAGAAGTTCCCTATTGCTGCTTGAACCACATATATGTCTCTCAATGATTCCACCATTTGAGGCGTGGTCACAACCTTGGACCCTTGAACTGCATATTCTGCCTCCCCAAATGAGTCCTTTCCAAATGCATAAACTCGCCCAGCATCACTGATCAGCATTGTCCTCCCTGCTCCAGCAGCTGCTTGAATGATCCGAATGCCTTGCAGTGATCTGTCAAGCAGCAAACCTTTCTTGTTCTTGGTACACGATAATGTGCATCAAGTGTATGAAGCAACTGCAAAATTTAAAGCACCTTATGAGTCGTGGCCGCCACTCTTCCTCCAAGGTGCCATGGCCAAGCTGCCCTGAGCTGTTCGACCCAAAGGAGTACACAGATCCAGATGAAGTGACAGCAATACTGTGACCAGGTCCAGCAATTGCCTGAGAATTTTCTCTTCGGCAACATGCCTCACCTGCCAATATATACCTAAGAACTAGTTTCCAAGATCCCCCACAGCGTTGCTTTAGAAAGCCCCTTTCTTCTGAAGTCATCGGCTTAAAGATGGCCCTCTTCTGGCACATGTCCAATGCTGCAAGCTCCGTAATAGATAACTGGAAGTCGGGAGTGAAATTGGCAGGCTTCCTGAAAAATGTACATGTCACCTGCCACAAACATCGAAAACCATCAACAGCATTATCAATTCTATCAACAAGAGAAACATAAGAACGCTACTTGCCTCCAGATTAGCAAGATCCTGGGGGTCCAAATTGCAAGCGGTAAGAACATGGAGAACGATAGAGGGGCTTGCAGCCAAGGGGAATTCCCCTGGGGTCAAGTCACCAAAGCAATGCCTTTGCACCCGTTGGAAGGTCTGCTGTAATGGGGGCATGAGAGAGAGCGATGGATCTACAATGGTGTGAAATGGTATGGAGGAACTGCTACCACTAGTGGTGGCATCCATCGGGCACTGTCCTGATCCTAAAGTGCCCCAAAGACCAAGAGCACAGGGAATTCAAGATGAAGCTTATGCCATTAACCACCATTGCCAAAGCACCACTCCAAAAGACCAATGAACTCCATATTGTAGCGAAGCAACACCCAGATCTAATCGCTGCATTACGTCTTATGATCAATCAACTGATTTTGATCCTCAAACCTATGTGATTTTAACAAACAAACGGTCACAAAGAGTACTGTATATATCAGGAGCCTAATAGAAGAGCAGGGAGAAAAGGGGATGACCATCAGATAAGATATCAAGAAGCAAAACCAATCCAGCTAAGACAAAAAAATATAAGGTAATCCAAACGAACAAAACTACAAAAGTTAAGAAACACAAAGGCTGTTCGAAAAAAACACAAAATTTATATCAGCTAACAAATTTATGAATCCGCAATAACAAGTAGAATGGATAAGAGACCAAAGCAAGGACTGCTAGTTTTATGGGGCGAAGCATGCCAGCATCTTTCTGGCATTGTAGGTACCATGTTGTGTCATTGGCATGCCCTTGCACTGGTAGGTATAGACCACAAATTAGTCTGGCCATATGTTGGCACTGTCACAACAATCCTTGTACATCAAGAATTGAAGAGGTGGCCATGTCTAAGATTACAGCTCAAGACCATGAATGAGAAAAAGTTATGAAGAAACTTAGACGCATCAATTGGGACAGAAGACTGAAAATAAGTCTCAGCCTCATATAAGTGATAATCTAG